CGCTTTCGCCCGCGCTCCTACCGAACAATGTCTACTAGCAACGACGAGTGTCCGCCTACAGCTGAGACCGAGGCGACGGCGAGCAGACGGTTCAGGGAGGCGAGATGCGGTCCACGTACCAGTCCTCTGACCACCGCAGGGCGGCTGCTGTGCGAGAGAAGCCGCGCCACTCGTTGTCTCGCACAGGTCGGAGGCTCACAGAGGGCGGGAGCCGGTCCAGCAGCCGGCGTATGTTGGTGTCTCCCACGATGCCAGTATCTCCGACGTCGACGTCGAGCACGCGCAGTGCTCCGAGGTCGAGCTCACAGGGGTGCGAGCGGCGGAGAAGGGAACGTAGAAACTTCTTGCTTGAGGGATTCTCGCGGCCGTGCAGCGGACAGAGGAACGAGACGGGCGTGAGCAGAAGCAGCTCGTTGCCTGTAACCAGACACACCAGCTCGCGCAGCTGGTCAAACGCGAGCAGCCGGTCCGGGTTGGCAGCAAGCAGGCGCACGGCCTCTTCGCAGAGGGCGCCGGCACGGTGCTGCCCCGTCCCGGGGTAGATGGCCTTCTTCAGCTGCGAGAGAAAGTCGCTCCGATTCAGCGTGCCCGAGCCGCTGAAGTCGAGTGCAGGAACCGTGAGCGTGCGCCTGCTTGGAATAGGCTCCGTCGACTGGAGGAGCCGCAGAGTCACCGCCGCATCAGGCGCGTTGATGCTCAGCCGGAACGACTCGAGCTGCGTCTCATCCGAGATCGAATGTGCCTGCGGCACACGTGGGACGTGAGAGCTGTGACGGGGTGAGAGCTGAGTGCCGGCTGGACGGCTGGTGTGCACCCCGGTGTTGAAGATGAAGAGAATCTCCCGGTCAATTCTGAAAGTCTCGCGCGAGTAGTCGGTCAGCTGGGCAAAGCTGCACATGTGGCCGCCGACGTCCCCATATAGCATGATAGTGCCGTCGACCTCCTGTTGTCCAGCACGGTAGCGGTTCACGCCGTCGACGAGTTGGAACTGTGTGGACCGCCACGGCGCCGGCTGTGGTGTGGGCGACGGTTCTGCGGGCGGCATGGTGCTGTCGCATCGCGCTTGTGCCGGGACCGCTTCTTCTTCTTCTGACTATTGCCGTGGTCGCTGCTGTTGCTGCTCATGTGCAAGCCGCGAGGTGTGTAGCCAGCCAGATCCAGCTGCGCAACGCGAGCGGAGCGAGCGAAGCGCCAGGACGGCGCCCGTCCCTTGTAACGCTTCACGCGCGTCGCTGAGGCGTGCTGTGAAGGGCTCGCGTGATCGCGAGCATCGCACAACATCGCCATTTATCGCATTTTATCGCCAAATATCGCGCGGTATCGCGGTTGCGATATTGTGAAAAATTCCCTCTAGAGCAGGGCTCTGTCTGCTGTGAGAGAGAGAGAGAGAGAGAGAGAGAGAGAGAGAGAGTTCCTCAGTTACTAATCAACTCTTTTTTTTTGGGGGGGGTATGTGGCTCTTACGTTTTTGCTGTGATTCTGTGTGAGCTCTGTGTCTTGTTTTGCCAAGCGAGCGAAATTCTTTTTGAGGCGGCTCCAGTGGTGTACCTGTGTTAGTGCCAGTGCGCGCCAGTCCCGTGCCCAGTGTTGCGAGTAAAATTCTTTTTGCCGCCGACGATTTTGGCCGTGGTGGTGAGGCAATAGCGGCATGGATGGATCAGCCGACCGAGATGCGCTGCGGTTCGTCTTCGAGGCGTGTGCACAGGACGACGACGGGCGGGTCAAAACGTCGGAGCTGTCCAGCAAGCTGCAGCAAGCCGGCGGCCCCGCGAAGCTTGGCGTGCTCCTCAGCGTGCTGCAATCGAGTGCAAACGCGGCGTTGGACTGGGAGGAGGCGCTGAGTCTGGCCCAGCTGGACTCGGCCGTGCCCAAGTTGGGGAGGCTTCCGAGCAGCGAGGAGAAGCGCGAGTCGATGGAGGCTGACCGGGGGTGGGCTCCTGGACCTGGGCTGTGCGGACCGGGGGTGTCCCTCGGCGAGGCCTCGCTGCTGCTGCTCTTCGAGGGCGCCGAGTGGGAGACGCGCGTCGACGTCGGCCTCACAGTGGAGTACGTCAAGTTGCTGGCGCGAGAGCACTTTGCCGACTCGCTGCGCGGAGTCTACGCGGACGCCCAGCTGGTGCTACGCGAGTCGCGATCCCAACCCCCAGCCGCGGCGTCTGTCGCCCAGCCTTCGTCCCTCCCCTCTCCCCACCCCGCAGGAGCTGCGGCTCGACGGCAAACCGCTGATGGACCCGATGTCGCTGATCGATTACGAGATAGGCGCCGGAACGAGCTCGAGGATCGACTGCTCGGTTCGCGAGGTCTGACGGTGCAGCGCGCAGTGCGAGGCGTCTCGCGAGCCTTGGTAGGGCCGCGCCAGGGCAGTGTGTCTGGACCAGCACAGCAGGGCAACACGCGAGGCTAAACACGCGAGGCTACTCGCAGCCGTCTCTCAGAACGAGAGCGCACGACGAGTTGAGAGGAAGAGAGAGCGGGAGAGCGATAACTGGCGATAACTCGGGGGACAGCGTCATCCAATGTCGTCTCTTTTATCATGTAATATGACGAATACACAACGGCCAACACAACCAACTACAGACTCGGAGCCCACGGCGAGGAGGATGACTGTCCTTACGTATTAGGGTTGCCTGGAGGCGGTCACCCACCCGTCTGGCGCCTGCTGCTCGACAAGCAGCAAGTGCCTCCGCGTGGCCTCGGCGATCTCCGAGACGCGTATGCGGTCGAAGTTGCCGGCGAAGCGTGTCTTTTGGGCGAAGGGGTCCTCGAGGGCGATCATCAGGTTGACGAGGCCGGCCGAAGCGAGCTGGACGGCGCACGCGAACAGGATGGCGAAGAGGAGCGCGCGGTCGGGGTCGTCGCCAGACTGCTCCGCCTCCTCGACGATGGAGGCGTAGTATGGGCCGTACAGCACGGGCATGATGAGGACGTAGACGCGCGAGAAGGCGCGGAACACCTGCGGTGCGGCGCTCCTTGATCTAGACTCAACTCACATCAACTGACATGGACAAGAACAAAGCGCGCAGTGCCTGCGGCGTGCGGTACTCCTTGATGGCGGTGAGCTGCTCCCACGCGATGCCGATCTGCGAGATGTACGAGTCGAGCCGGTGCGCCTCTCCGCCCGGGAGGCCTATGGGAAGGCTCCGAGCCGCTCCCGAGAAGGTTCGTGGAAGAGCCGGGGCCCGCCTCTCTGGTCTGGAGGCCTCGCGTCTTGAGCTCCTGCACGAGCGCCTGCGGAAGGGGAGGGAGGGGGGGGGTGGCGAGGGGAGGGGGGAGGGGCGACGGGCTCGTCCGGGAGGCCCCGCGTATCTGCCCCTGCGCGCCTGCAGCTGCGAGAGGGAGCCGTCCACGAGCAGCTTGAACTCGTTGGCAAGCGCGTGCCGCCGCGCTTGGTCCTCTGCTGCGCCGTAGAGGCGCATGACGTGCCGCAGGCGCATGTAGCGGGGGACGGCGAAGTAGGCGACGAGCGTCGAGAGCAGCCGGCCGAAGAGGTCGTGCAGCTGCTCTCGCCCCGCTGGCGGCTCGAGCAGCTCGCTCATCCTCCTCCACTCGCCGCCGTCTTTGACCTTCCAGGTGTGCACCGCACTCCACAGCCGGGTCACGAGCGACATGACCGTGCTCAGCAGCGAGAGGGCCATCTCCCGCCGCCCAAAGGACCAGCCGATGCACTGCGAGATCGGGAAGATGACCGCCATCGACACCAGGTTCCAGTCGAGACCGAACGAGAGCCCCACCGAGGCGCCGCCGCGGCCGTACAAGATGACCGACGCGACTGCAATCACGCAGCCGAGCACGGAGTCGAAGGAGAGGAGCGCCCGGAAGGCGAGGTTGAAGGCGGCGACCAGGTTCAGGACCGTCCCGCATCCCGGCACCTTGCACCTTGCTGCCTCCACGCGGGACTGCAGCGTCTCAAAGTCGTCGGACGGCGCCGCCTCGGGGAGGAAGGACTCGTGGAGGCTGAGGAGGGAGGACGCGGCGGCCGTCCGCTTCCCCATGCTGCCGCTAAGTTCAACCTCGCATCGCTCAACCTCTGAGACGGGAAGGCTCTGCCGCAGATGGATGGCGTGGCCGGAGAGGAACCGGTTGTACGACGCCATCGCGGGCGACTCCAGCGGACCCGGCTGGCGTCCCGAATAGCACGCGTTGATGAGACGGCGGCAAGGCGAGGGACGTGGCGGTGACGTTTGCATGGGCATTTCCGGTGTGCGCGCCACTGTGGGGTGGCCTTGCCGTCGGGGAAAACTGGGGAAGCGTTATTTGCTGAGAAAAAAATTCGGATCAGTAACCAGCCTCCGGCGGGGCCCCCCGCTACCATCCAAACCCGAGTCCCTCTACTATCATAGGTAGAGGCTCAAGTGCGACATATAACTCCACACCCACGCACATGCACAAAGCAACTCTCACGGCACACGGGCGCCGGGTGGAGCGGCGGCGGCGGCGGCAGCAGCACGCGCGGGCGGACGGATTCGGACGGGGCGGAGCAGCGACCGCCTGGGCGGCCGCTGCTCTGTCTGCCAGAGCGCGCCGTCTGCCTGCGCAGCTCGAGCGCGGTCAGGTGCGAGGACGCTGGCGGCGCGGGGAAACGCGGCGGCGGTGGCGGCGGCGGCGGCGGCGGCGGCAGCGGCACGCGCGGGCGGACGGATTCGGACGGGGCGGAGCAGCGACCGCCTGGGCGGCCGCTGCTCTGTCTGCCAGAGCGCGCCGTCTGTGCGCAGCTCGAGCGCGGTCAGGTGCACAGGGAAGCGTGGCGGCGCGGGGACGCGCGGCGGCGGTGGCGAGCAGGCGAGCGGCCCGCGCGCGGCGAGGCGGACAGGTGATCGGCAGGCGGGTGATGGGCCGGAGAGTGACCGCGCCCAGCGATCGGAGCGAGCCGATCGTCGCTCGGCCGCAGCTGACCTCGAAGGCGTGCGGAGCGCGACTGTCGGTGTCGGGGGGCGGCCGTCATGTGGCGAGGAGGGAGGACGACAAGTGCGCGTCGTACGGGTCGCTCTTCATCAACCAGTCGAGCGGACGGCGTCGGTCAAAGCAAAGAGGGCCGGTGGGGGCCGGTGAGGCCGGCGAGATTCGTTGCGAGATACGGTTCGCGCCCAAACACAAGTTTGGACGCTCTGTGGACGCGCCGCAAAATCAGGCAATTGGAAAGGGGGCTACTGGGGCGGCCAATTCACACCTCGCGGGACTACTTATGTTTTCGTAAACGTAGTCGTGGCCCCCCGCTACGTCGCACGAGTGCAACCGGGTAGCGGGGGGCTATTATTGCTCCGAGTAGAGGGGGCGTCCTGCAGTTAAGGGGAAACCTGGTACGCGGGTCCAACCCTCGGAGAGTATTCTTTAGCTCCGAGTAGAGGGGGCGCTCCGCTGCTAGGGGAAACCTGGAGCGCGGAGCTAACCCTCGGAGACCCGTGTTATGGCCCTGCGACCGCGCACCCCCGGGGCTAGGGCTCTCTAGCCCGTAAGCGTAACCCGATGCCGAGCGTCCGGCCAACTGGGTGCGCTTCTCAGCTCCCCGGTCCTGGGCGTGAGGTTAATGACCGCACTCCAAGTGCTCCAAGTGCACTGCGAGGACGGCGAGGCACTTAGCTCCGTGCACTTATTTACCGCCCTCGCCGCAGGCAAGCTCATTCACAATCTCTGCTCTGCGATGCCGATGGCACTGTGATCTGTGTGCTGTGAAGAACGACTGAGATACGTTGCTCATGCAGCCCTAGCCAATTCTTGGTGGTCCAAGTCACCTCGAGCGATTCTAAGATCAGGTCTCCCACCTCCCCGCTGGAAACGAACATCTAAGTTTCAAATCTCGAATAAATCTCGAAGCACACTTGAATGCTCACTTGGCAGGTAACATATGCGCCACGCGCCTCAACCGCTCCTCTGGTCGCCGCCGGCCTCCGCGGCGGCGGCGATGTCCCAGCGCCACCCATCGGCCAGCCCTCAGATCGATCGATCGGCGCTCAAAGTCGGCTTCAGATCCGAGAACGCTGCTGGCGCCGCCGCCGATCCCAGCGGCGACGCCAGCAGCATCCTCTGCTCTCCAATGCGCCGAGAAGCGACACGGGGGTGCTCGGCCCGCCATGGACGACGAAGGCTCCGCCGGGCGCGCGTCGGCCGGTCCGGTGGCACCCTCTGCGCGCGGCACCTGCCGGCGCCCCGACGACAGCCGTCGCGCCACCGCTGATGGAGGGGCGGTCGGCGCCGCTGCCGCCGCGCCGCCGGTGGGAGGGGCACTGGTGGTGGCCTGGGCGGCCCTCCGCCGCCGCTCGGGGCGCCCGGGCAGCGGTGGCAGCCTGCCGCCGCACCACTTCGAAATGCCCGCTGACCACTTCGAAATGCCCGCTCCGGCGGCCCGCGCGCCGCGCTATTCTTTTTTCTACTAAGCAAAATTCGAGCCAATTGAGGAAACTGAAGCGGGCAGGCTGGAAGCACTGAGGGACGGCCGATGTTCGCCCAGTGGTAGACCTGATCTTAGAATCGCTCCCTCGTCGAGGTACTGGGCCCCCGCGTCAGCTTAGTGCTGCATTTTTTGTTCAGCACGTTCGCCGCCTTCCAGAGGAATTTTTTACCCCGTCGCTCTCACGACACTAGGCACGGGACTGGCGCGCACTGGCACTAAGACTAACACAGAAAAAGAATTCACGCAGTCCTTGTACAATAGAGCGTACGATCACAAGGAGTCCTCCAGATGCGTCTCCGCCGCGCGCCAGTCACACGGCAGCGCGAGAAGCCGCAGGTGCCTCGCAACAGCGGCAAAGGCGCTCCTCAGCTCCATGCCCGACGTCGCCTCGACGCCTGCAAGGATCGCGGCTCGAGCGACCATGAGCGCCTTCCCCAGCGCGTTCGCCTCACAACATAGCCGAGTGTGCACCCGCCCCTCGCGCGACTCAAACTCGAATGGCGACTGATGAACCGAGTACAGGCCGAACGTGCGAGCGAGCGCCGGCGCCTGCAGAGCTTTTGATGAGTTTGCTGCGACGCCCCACGCGCCGTCGTGCGGCGCAGCCTCAATCAGCAGGACGCCTTGCGTGCTGAGCAGGAGGCGGCGCAGGCCCTCGTCCTGCGAGAACTTGAGCAGGCAGACGACCGACCCCACCAGTACGTGCACCCCGTGGTGGCCCCACCACGTGTAGTCGGCCACCCGCCTCGTTGCTCTTGCGGCCACCTCCTTCGACTCGGCCGCAGCTCGGATCGTAGCCTGCGTGCGAAGGGCGTCCGCCAGCGATTCGTGTGGCGGCACGCCACCGCTCGGAGCGAGCAAATGCTGCTTGAAGGCCATGAGCAGCGCCTCTGACGTGGCGAATCGCAGCCTCATGCC